TGCGTAGCTCAACATACGTCACTTACTGCGTTGCTCTGATTGGTTGTAGGTCTATCCAATTGAGTGCAGAGGTGTTTTTTTTCCTGGTTCGGTTAAGGCACGCCTCATAATCAAAGCCCTATGGAGCAGTATCAGACTCATTCTGACTAGAATATGAGTATGACGAAGTCAGGCTAGATGGCACCACAAGGCAGCGTTCACTTGCAGAACACAAGCTTTTCAGGGCACACACGTCGAGGTAGTCAGTTTGGGTATAGGGGTGCAGAGCCAGTGGTTGTTCTGTAGGCAAGCATCAGTGCCTTGAATTTGATGCGAGCGGCTATTGGCAACCAGTGCAGATTGATGAAGAGAGGTGTGACGTGCGCTCTCTCGGGCTCGATAATTACCACTCTCGCTTCAGTTTCTGGATCAGTTGCAGAGGTTTGACAGTGCAAGCTGGAAGGTGTCATGATTCTGCCCTCGTGTCCTTGATTTTCTCTAGTCTTGAGGCAGGATCATGACAGACCCATGTTTTGACTTGGCATGGACAAGGAGTCGTGTAGTATTCTCCGATAGGAAGGGCCTGATCCTCCTTATGTTGTATGAGGCAAATCTGTAGGACCGGGCAGTTCTAGCAATGTGGCCTGTAATCATCAGTCAGAAGGTTCTTGGTTGCCCTGAATGAAGTTATTGTTGATGAATGGAGAAGTTGTGCTGAAGTGTTGGGCTGGCCGAAACCACCAGCAGTTTTGTAGGCAAGGAAGAGTTGAAGGTGATGGTCCTTCATCACAGACATATGCGAGCAGACCGTCGGATCATCCGGCTGAATCGAGAGGTACAGTTGTGTGCAGTGATAGGAAAAGCCCTGTTTCTGTGGCAGATCCTAGTGATGTTATGTAGATGGAGAAGAGGTCCAATTATAGAAATAGATTTGTACTGCTTTGCTTTACTTATTTACCGATGTACTTATTTACCGATAGTAAAATTGATTTCAGGATTGCTGTTGTCATGAAACTTAACATGTCTTCTTTTCTATTTGTTCTGCACAAGAATCAACACATAACACAAGGTTACAGTGAAACAGATCAGCATAGAAAACTCCAATCACAGCAATGCAAACAAGAAGACCAATTGCAATAGTTTCTTTGCTCTTGGTTCGATTTTGAATGGTACACATTCAATCAAGTGAACCAGCTTGGAACCAGTGTAAAGAAGTGTTTTGTTTAAGCCACTTTGCCTTCATTGCATGGCAAAGTGAAGAGAGTTGCACAGGTTGTGCAGTCTGCATTTCATAGCTGTTGCCTGCTCTCGTTTTTTTTTTCTTTCTTTCTGTTGCCGTACTTCCAGGAAGAATGCTGATTGTTTACTTGTGATTGCTCTGGCAGGAGTGCTGACTGTCTGTTGTTTGCATGCAAAGAAAGTGCGCCCAGTCCTCCGGCTTTCCGCTCCCCACAAGAGTTTGCCAATGCTGGTACGATGTTTCTCGAGGAGTACCCACCTCAACTGCCCTCAGGGTGTAAATTTGGGAAGTGCTGCATATTTGCCCAACATTTCCACTGCTATCTCTTTTCATATTTCTGGCAACAGCTTTTACAAGATGTGACAGAAGTATGACAAACATCATCCAGGCTTTTTTCCCCTATGCTCCATCTGTGGAAAATTACTGCCTTGTGTTTGTTTTGCTCTGTTTTTTTTTTTTTATCCATGGAAAAGAAAGAAAGAAAGAAAAAGAGACACAGAATGGCTACAGTATATAAATAGAAATCTGTAGCCTATTATTTGAAAATGGTGAAATCTTCAGTTATTGAGAGGAACTAAGCTTCAAAAAACGATGCTTGACACAAAGTCACACGAAACATGGATGATATTTGAGTTATTTGGTTATTCAGTTTCAACCAATTGTAAAGCTCTGAAAAGCCAAAGAAATACCAGAAATAGAAAAGACTTTTGCGCTACCACATCTTCTGCAATACCCATGTGAAACAGACTTAACTTTACATCATTAGTTAGAAGTTTTCATTAATAGTATATCATGAATAGTTTTAATTATTAATTTGACTTTTTCACCTGAGGTATTCATGAGACAAGAACTTTTGCATGTTTGCATATAACTAAATGAAAGCAAGTAGATGACAGAATTAATGTTTGAAAAAAGTATTAAAATGACATATTTTAGCAGCAGATATTCTTTTCTTTTTTAATTATCATTGCAGAAATACATACAGAAACTCTACAAAATACTCGAACAAAAACAAAACACAGATAAACAACAATATAAGAACAGATGAGGAGAGAGAGAAAAAATAAGGATAAAGAAAGAAAAAAAAGAAAGAAAAAAGACCTTATCATTTAAAATATATATCCTTTGGGGGTGTTGAGTGTTTTAAGGTATTCAGTAATTTCACACCCAAGCCCTGGACGGCATACCAGCTAGAACTTATAACTCCTTTCCTCCCCCATTGTAAGACATAGGGCCCTATTTTAACAATCTGAAACGCAAGTATCAAGCACGAAGAGAAAGTAACTTTGTGGGCGGGTCTTGGGCGCTGTTGCTATTTTACCGGTGGGATAATTGACTCTTGCACCCGACGCAAGTTTAAAAGGGGTTGGTCTGAAATAGCTTCATTATTCATAGGTGTGGTTTGGGCGTAATGTGAAAAAAACAAACAATCAGAGCGTCAACCAACACGCCATGCAACAAGCAGGTGCGCATGTTGCATGGCGGATTGCTATTATAACGGCGGATTTACCAGGCGCGTGCCAGGAGTGGTTCACAGCCGAGGAGACCGACGTTCTTGTCAGGGCCGTGAAAGACAGAGAAGTGACGTTGTATGGGGATGGGAGTTTTTTTTTTCCTGGTTCTTGACGGACAAACTAATTTGTCAGATGTCCTTATATACATATGTGTCTTGCCACTATTGGGCAAACAGGTCTGATGGACATGGACACCACAATGATTTCCCTCATGTGTTAATATTTTTTCTTGTTATAATGTATGATTTGCAAAAATAAAAACTGCTGCATCTGTGTTGATGAGAGAATCAAAGTGTATGCGCGTTGTGCACCCGCTACATTATGGCCAAGCATAAGCGCTTAAAATAGCATAATGAACAACACGCAACGCGCCACTGACTTTAGACTAGTTTTTTTCCGGTCAGTGGCGCAATTGTTTTATAGAACAGCAAAATAGCACCAGGGATTGTTTGCGCCGAAACAGGCCTCCTTTTTGCGCCGACCCGCCCAGGGAGTGCAAGTTCATTCCCTAGTTTAGCGACGTGCTTCTGTGGAGGGTGCAAAATAGGAATGATACATGCGTCGGTGTACAAAGTCAATTGCGCTGGGTGCAAGATAGGGCCCAATGTGTATGCAGCGCAAACAAACGTTTTTTTTTATTTTTTTTAATCATCATCCTCTAGCTTTCCCTACACATCCCACCGTCGTCCATTGGTGGCGATGAGATGTGATGATGCTGTGGACTTTGTGGGGTATACAGTATAGGGATTGTGTGTTCTCTCATGAAGGACTTGGCACTCACTATGACTTAGGGCGGTCTACACATTGCCCAAATAGAGGAGGAAAGGAACCCACATGGAAAAAAAGAGAAGGTTTTTAGCAGATATTCAATCCTTTACAATGCTGTCACTGTGGTAGTAACTTTAAGGTGTCCTTGTAATTATACAGTTAACTCCTGAGTAATATTAATTAACAATATGTACTACTTACTGTAGGGTTTGGGTTAGGATCAGGGTTTGGTATAGGGTTAGTTGAATGTGATTATGCATACATTACTGTTATTACTATAATAATACATGTTACGTGTATCAAGGACACTGTAAAATAAAGTGTTACCATGGTGCTGAATAATGATAAAGAAATGTACTTTGACATGCTCTGGAGAGGTAATTTTTTTGTACCTATCTTTCTTCCCTGAAAGGCATCGCATATGAAAGCTTGTTCATGTGCTTTGTCTGGGATTAAAGGAAAGGGACATATTTTTCACCTCATGTACCTTCTTTTGAGATTGTTACCTTCTTTTCCATCCCATGTGTTCAAGAGAACAAAATCGTCACTTCCTGGAAATATATTAATTTTCTGCAATCTTGGAAGAAACTGTGGCTCTTTTCTCCATCATAAATGACTTGCGTCTCAGAGCGGCAGAAGAAACTCAATAAACGCTGTCATGTTCTCTTGCGTTCGGATGCTTCTGGGAGGAATTAAACCAAATCATTCTGATGACAGACTTTGACATTTCAGAATGATCACACCAACATTTATGAACGCTGTGATGCGATTGGTCCGCTGGTTAGTCCAGTTATCCAATCACATCCACTGTTGAGGCAAAGTCACCTGAGGTTTTTGTTGCGGATCGAGGGATTTATTCGGTAAATGTGTTTCCATCATAGTTTATCTGCATGTCTTTTTATCGGATAAAAGATGTATACTTTTTTTATACGTATTTATACTGTATTTTTTATGCGATATCCCAAAATACGCATAAAAACAGGTGGATTGAAACATAGCCATTGAAAGATCCCGATCAATCCCAGCATTCATAGTGTTTACCTCTAGCACACAGATAAAGCCCATCATAATAGAAACACCTGTCCAACAATATTTATATCAGAAGAACATTATTCCCATAACTGAAAATGTTGCTTGTTTAATGGCTTGCTAATGTCCATTAGTACTGCATTGCTCTTTGAGAGTTTAGAGTTCCAGGGTCTCAACACAAGTGCCATTAGGCCATGGACACAAAATAGTCTTTGATACTTACTGACATTGATTGTTCGCTCTAATAGGATCTTGCATTGGTAAACATCCATGCAACCTTTATATTTTACATTAAAAGCGTGCATGGAACTGTAAGTAGCCTGTGTAAATATTAAATAGACATCTGAAGTGCAGATTATGGGTGTGTTAACACTTGGCATGTTTGGTTCGATTAAAATGAACTCTGTGTGTTTTGTTTCACATGGCTTATGAAGTTATTATCTGTGTGATTAACTCTTTTCTTCTTACAGGGGACATCATCTTTAATGCGAGTGACCCAGAACTGCCCCCTGACTTTATCTTCGGAGAAGATGCTGACTTCCTTCCTGAACCATCTGAGCTCCCGGTGTGTATTAAAATTATAATTATATGATGCCATTATCCTGTATTCTAAATATAGAGCTTTTATATCAATATTGAGTTACAGAACAGTAGCTAAGTAGATGGACTATACACATATATTGTGGATATAAATAGCAGTAAGAGGACAGAAATGTACGAGAGATTGTTTTTTCCAACATCACTGCAAAATCATGCATTCGATGTAGATCTTCTATGTTCAGAGAGACCACATTTAACAAAGCCTGACAAATAAAAATAGTCTTGGTTTAGTGAAGTGTTTATGCTTGCATTAGGGTCACCAACACACACACACACACACACAACACACACAAAAATCTCAAATCTCCAGTGAACCAAAAATGTGCTAGCTGCAGGCTAAACCTCGGTTGTACAGAAATACACCCAAGAAGACAGAACAATGGCTCTGTTATGATTGATATCTTTGAAGTAGCAGAGCTTTCAGCTGTTTTAACTTCCTTTAGTGCAGTTAGTTAAATCTGATGGCTGGTATCGATGTGCGTGGTCGACTCAGCAGCCAGATTTGACCCGCGGGGCTTCCAGCGTTCTGAAGAGAGAGTGTTGGTGAATTACATAAGCGTTGCGTCTGCACTTAACACTGCCGTTCTTCTGGTGCCGCTGTTAGGACTGACAATTAGCACCAGAGGCTTTACTCCTCTTACAACACACTCAAAAAGAAGCATCCAGGTACAGGGTTTCAAACAGTCATTTGTTCTTTATTAAGGCATGTTGTTGATTTATTTAGTTGTGTTCACTGAACATCATTTTTGGCATAAAGAGCCACTGTGTATCTCTAAACAAACAGTGTGCCGCATGCTTGGCGATTGTGTTATCTTTGGGATTTTAAATGTTTCCAAAAAAATACACTGTAAAATCAATTTTTTCGAAGTTGTAAATAAAATAAATAAATAAAAAGGACTATGAATTAAATTCACAAATAAATATAATGAGATTTACAAATATTGTTATCTGATTTGACTTGAGATTTGTGTGTGCTTGCTAGAAATGTTTTAAAATCCACAAATGCGTACAGTGAGTCATAAATGCATAAGATGTGATTCATAAATGTGTGCTGCGATCAGGGTTATTATAGTTCATTAAAACTAAAACCAAACTTATTATTTCAGCTATTCATAAAAAACAATATAGAGACACATTTAAAAACAATAACTGATAAAAATGACAAAAACACACAACAAAATTACTATAACTAAAATGAAAACGGAAAATACGGAGATACTAATAAATTCAATATTTTAAACAATCTCGATGACTCTAAAATAACATGGTTTGTGAGATAAAAATATATTTGTAAATGTGTTTTATTTCCAAATCTTACTTTATTTATTTGTGAATTAATTATCCTAACATATATTTGTGGACTTCATTATTTTATCTGTAAATTTGTTACACTTATTTGTGGATTGTAATCTATTTATTTGGAAATATGCAACAAATAATTTATCCAACTAATAAATTATTGGTTGGTGGTCAGAGATGTAGTTTCAGGAGCACTTGAGACATTTCACAGATCCACAGCATTCAGGTCTGTTGTTCTTCCTCTCAAATCACTGGATGTGTTGTTAAACTCTCTTCTTCGTAGTGGGTGACTTGTCAAATGTATTATTACTAACAATTCATAGGTTGCTGATTCAACCCCATAAGAAACAAGTCATAATAAGCCATAATTTTATTTCCTTTATTGTTTTTATTATATCCATTTTATAAATTAATGCTGTTTTTCTGTAGTGACATTGTGTGAAAACCACAACGGCAAGTTCCACTGACCATTGTCATGTTGCAGTATATTCTATTCTATTCTATTCTATTCTATTCTATTCTATTCTATTCTATTCTATTCTATTCTATTCTATTCTATTCTATTCTATTCATAGGCTAAACTTTCTGGCATCTCAATGGGGGCCACCATATTCCTCTTGTGTTGTGCGTTAAATTACTCAGTATTGACCAATAATAATCAGGATTCATCATACGGGTTTGTTCCTCAGAGATGATGTTTGCAAAAGTGAGACACAGAGTTTGTGCAAGATGTGGTCTAGATTTGTCTGGACTGTGTTAATTGCTTAAAGCTGTCCTCCAGGCTATTTTTAAGAAGGAACGGAATGAAAAAAAAAAATCCCCTGCTTATGTCAGAGTCTGTGAGACGGTGACTATTGCTCACCGTCTCTTAAAAGCACGGGGGGGGGGGGGGGAGCACCTCTGCGCTGCCAGGGCTTCGCTCTGTGTCTTTTAGCTTCTCCGTTGTGGCGCGAGTGTGTGTGTGGCTGTGTGCAGCTGTTCGGTTTCTTCTCCTGGGATATTTTTCTTTCACTGGTTTGCAGCCAGTATCCCTCTGTCTTGTTCTTCATCCTGTTTATTCTGCACTAAGCTGGATTTTTGTGTAACCAAACATGAATGATCCAAAAGGCCTGGGGATATTAGTATGCCACATCATTGGCAAACATAATGTCCAAAAACGGCATTAATTTGTTTAATATGTTCTTATTCTGGCTTGTTCATCTTATTTGCTTTCATCCTTCCCAGACGGTTCTGCTGGTTCAGTCTGTCTGTCAGTGCCTCTCCTGCAAGCTCATTTTCACATTACCGTGAGAGAGACTCAAGATCAACATTGCGTCCTGGTCTTTCACACCTTAATATGCAGCTCTGTTCCAAAACCTAATGCCTAGACAGCGTCCTATGTGTTATGAAACCTCAGAAGAAAATGACTTGAAACTTGAAAGCACACAGGAGACGCAACTCATTCTGCAAATTACAAATTCCAAGAGATGCCCTGATGCTTCTTTTTGCTCTTAGTTTTAGCTGTGTAATATGATTTCCTCAAGTTTGAGCACTTATAACATTATGACCAGGCAGAGATTGTGTTGCTACCACAAAGACCACAAGTTTTAGATTCCTTGCGATTAATTAAAAAAGTAGGTGGTGTGAGAATTTGAGTTATGCAAGTAGAATACTGAAAGTTTTTAGTTGTGATGTATTATGTTCATCAACATATGCACTTTATACATGAACAGCAACAAACAATGGTAATATTCCATGTGAAGATAAAGAGAACGTGATTATCTTTTATTACTCCCTTCGCCAAGTCTGTTCCAAACAGCCACGTTATAAGGCACAATTGACATTCTGTTAGCATGTTGCTAAGCTGACAATAAATATATCCACACTTTTTCTCACTGTTATACATTTGGTGCTTCTGATTTTCACATGACCAGCATTCAGATGCTGGACACTGGCTTGTTTTCCAGCTACATGTAATATCGCCCAGTTTTCACACTGCTGTGAGGAATTCCTGATGTCTCAGCAAAACTTGGGCTTGTTTACAGTCTGTCACAACTTAGTATTATTAGTTGCTAACCACCATTTTGTTTCCATGCCCCGAATGGTGAGTTTACGTGAAACGCTGACACCAGAAGATTTACTAAGGTGTGAAAAGTAGTGTTACCAGAGTCTTCTCATCATTTCTATTTTTTGAGTAAAGTCAAAAAATGTAGTTTCCAGTTTTTTTTTTTAAATATCTGTTTTATTACAGACACATTAATACCTGTCTTCTCAGAGATCGCTCTTAAAGTTCCCCCAAAAGTGAAATTTCTGTTATCATTTGTCAACATTTTACAACAAATTTTGTAGAATGAAGCTCTAAATTTTTTTGAAAAAACACAATAAAGCAGCAACTGTACTATATATGACTTGTGCTTCTGATGAAGTGAAACACTAGCTTTGTGTGAGGCACAGACCAAAGTTTAATTTGTAGGCTATGCGTTTGTGTACATTAAAATGTGGGTTATGAAGACATGTAAGATCTGTTACAAGATATACAGACCAGGGACATTTGTCGCCAAACCTTTCTTGATGTGGAATGCATGAATGCAAATAAGACTTGTATCATATGACAAAAACATATTTCCAATGCAACACACCATTAACAATTGAGATGCCCTGAGGCTCCTTTGCTAGTATTGGCTTTGTAATATGATTTTCTGAAGTACACACACTTATAACATTATGACCATGCAGAGTTTGTGTTGCTACCACAAAGACCACAAGTTTGATTTGGCTAGCTGAGATATCACTGCTTGAAACACAATATGACTCAGCGAACTCCAAAGAGCAGCGGCTGTAGCAATTTTATTCAGATACTTTTCATTGAAATATCACCTGAGAGCCTCGAGCCATGGCACTTTCTTTGATGAAGGTCAGAGAGTACTACAGTACAGAGCAGGCAAACAGACATCTGTACCAAATACCAGTTTAGAAAAGCATGAAGGCTCGGAATAATTTGTGTTATCACTTAAAAATGAGACAGGCAACTCATTGAAAAATTCAATGCTGTATTATTTTTTTTTATCCAGTTAATGCATTCCCTGGGTATCAAACCCATGATTTTTTTCATTGTTAGTTCCATGCGCTCATTCCTTACTTTACAACATACAGTATATGCACATTAGCTTGAACCTGAAAATGAAGATTAAAGAAGAACAAGAGGTAAAACTTTAGTTTAGAGTACACATTCTCACTATTAACTATGCTTATTAGTATGCACATTACTAGGGTATTAGCTGTTTATTAGTATTTTTAAAGGACATATTAATGCCATATTCTGCATGACCATATTCTACATCCCCTAGCCAATACCCAAACTTAACAACTACCTTACTAACTATTAATAAGCAGTAATTAGGAGTTTATTGAGACAAAAGTCGTAGTTATTAGGGAGAATTGGACCCTAATCTAAACTGTGATCGAAATATATTCATATGACGTTATTGAAAAGTAAGCTTGGTTTTAGAAATTTTGTTCTTAACCCGTTCAAATAGACAGGGGGACATGCATGACTGAAGTACCGGTAGCTCCCCAGGTCAAAAAACATCAGATCCGACGCTCGATCCTGTCATAAGATATCTGTTTTGTCTGTAATCCAAAACCAGTAAAACCTGTCAGCAGCAAGTCTTGTCAAGTGTCCAAAAC